AACTTTTCAACCTGCTTATGAAAATACATGGGACTGCGACCAACTTCACTCGCCTTTTAGAATACTGGTAAATATACATCCCCCCTCCCCTTCACCCAAACCAAAAATAAAAGGGAAAGTCCACCCGTTCAAAAGTTTTACCATTACTTGGGGGAGCATGAAAATACAAAAAATGAGCTTGCAGAGTGCAGCTTATTCTTTTTAAAATAAAAATAAATTCAAAGATGATAAAATACTACTATAAAATTCTCCTGCATCTTTTTTTTTTAGAATGAAGGAAAAATGATGGAGGAGGATCGTTACGTACTTAAAAATAATGCAAGGCTAATAACAAAACTCACCTGAAATTCCAAGATTCTCTTTCAGAGTCTCTTTATCCTCTACTCTCAATCTAGTATCATGGTCTATCACCTCTTTCATATTATGACTGCCAGAATCATCTTCCCAAGCATCTTCACCAACATAGGAACTGTCATGAATAAGAGTTCCATCTGCTGCTTCAATGAACTTCTTTAACTTTAGACCTTTGGGGGTAGTCTTCCTCCACAAACCTTTCTTGAATCTATAAGAATACATGTCCAAGAAAGGAGTTGAGAGATTACAAAACATCTTAGATCACCAATTGGATCAAGCAACAAGACATACTTGCATAAGGTGGCATGGGTAAATGTTTCCTCCTATTCATAAACTGCATTGATTTGATTTTATGATGATGGCCCAGATCAAACTAAAATCTAGAAATATTGAGCTTTTACCCCATCTAAGAAAAGTTCAATGGTCAAGTAAGAGTCTAATCAAATCTTTAAACTATCAGAGAATCATTTGTCTCCATCATGGGACGTGCTTTGGAATAGGCTTGTCTTATGAAAAGGCTGCAAGACTGCTCCTCTTAAATTCCCCCAATCCATCACAAGATATAAAAACTTTGGAAAAGGTCGGAAGTACAGTGGACTGGGGATTAGTGGGGTCATGATTGATTCTGTAAGGACTCCGAAAGGAGCAAAGGAGATTTGAGACACTATCCCGGCTTGTATTATGTGGATATTATGTAAAGATGAAATGGTAGGTGTATTGAAAGAAAAGCTGAAACCGTTCATAGGTATACATATTTCTACAAGTTTTTTTAGGTAAATTAAAGGATGCTTACAAAGTGACTTAAGAATTTCCAAAGACATTGCAGCCATAATCTGTTTCCTATCTTATGTTTCTCAAACACTTCCTTGGAACTGGTTTTTTTTTTAATAAAACCTTTATCATCAAAATAAAAGGTAGAAAATTCAAGATGCACCTCAGACCGATCAAAACATGACATCATATCAATCTCTGAATATCAAGTATTCATAAAAAAAGAAAACAGTTAGCAGTTGATTTGTGTTTTACCTTTTGACATTAACAGGAGTAGGTTCAGGAATCAATGCTTCCATGTATGCCTCAGTAAGTTCTTTTCTTTCCCTATTAATAATAGGAGCTCGAATTGCCATATATATTTTTTGACAAGAACATACCGTAACTATAATATAGAGAATGAAGACACCAACTCTTTTGGAATCCCATTTCTTGACGTCCTGAAGGAAGGAGGAAAAAGGATAATGTGAGCACAAAGTTTTACAAATAACTCAAATACAAAAAATGCAAAAGTTCACCTTCCAGGACTCGAATTTGTTCCAATTCAAGAACTCAGGAAACAACTCAGACTGAAAACGTTGCAGCAAAATTTGGCCATTCTTGGCTGAATCAACAGCTCGACCTGAAAATTCCCCAACTTTAACTTTAACATCCTGAAAATCAAAACCTGTCTCTTTCTTCACAGAGTCTTCCAATTGATTCAAGAAACGTTCGGAACCACGGCGAATGGACTGTGAAAGTTGCAGCCAAGAAAACCCTTCGGGACTGTTATTAGTATTGGAAGAAGAAGCTACAATGGTAGGTCTTCTTATACGGGAAAACTTCCTTCTGCATTTGAATGGCAATGTGAAAAAAAGGGGTTTTGAAGATAATTGTATTGAATTCAGCTGTTGAGGAGGAGGAGTAGTGGTTAGATGCATTGAGAAGCTTAGAGAATACGAAGATAATGCTTCGGTTTCGGCTCTCTTTCTCGTCGGAAAAACTGAATTTGTCTCCGGTCTTGCTCGTCGGAAAAACTGAATTGTCTACGCAAGGGGCTTTGGGTTTTTTTTAGAGGTTTATCTGCAGGCTTTCATTTTCTAAACCTTTTCATTTTTTCTTACGGCTAAACTCCAATTATTAGTAGTACTTTTTTATTTTACCTAAATGCTATAAAATTGTTTTAAAATACTTAAAATAAATCTATCCAAATATGTTATAAATTTGTTTCTTCAAGTTTCTTGATGGCTAAATTTTGTAGGTGTGGTTATTTCAACATTTTGAGAATTTCATTTATCAATAGGACAATTGCGGAAGAAGTTTTGGGGTAGTAAATCATATCATATATATATATATATATATCATAATCAGTGGCGGATCTATGCAGAGGTTTGGGGGTGCCACGCCACCCCCGAACTTCGACAGAAACTCTATATATACATAGGTATATATATATATATAATATTTTATATAAATATAAAGCGTGTCACCCACAGAACAAAATTGTCTTGTGGTGCCATGGTAGGAGGGCAACTTTAGAAGGTTGATGTTGCGGGTTCGAATCCCATTTGTACCTATTTTTTTGAGAAATTTGATGCTGACGTTTTTTAAGAAAAAAAAAAAAGGCTCCAAGCACTAGCACAATTTTTATTTTTATTTTTATTTTTTTATAATTGTTATTGACTTAAATTAAATTAATTACATTTATTACTCCTTTGACTTTTCTTTTATTTGACTAAATACTCAATAAAAGTGTAATATCTTATTATTTACATTTTATTGATTGATTTATGATATATATCGAAAAGACAAATAATTTAATCAAATATAAAATTAATTTAATCGATAAGTCTATTTGGCACCCACGGACTCTAAATCCTGGATCCGCCATTGATCATAATATAAAAGAGAATCCTAGGTCCGTCTACGTGGCGCCTTCACAAACCAGGTCTCCCTTTTAATTTATTTATTTTCAAAACTAGCATTCCCCTCTCATGAAAAATTGTGACTTTTATAAAAAGTTGCGACTTTTATAAAGAGTTGTGCTTTAATAAAAAGTTGTGACTTTAATGAAGAGTTGCGACTTTTATGAAAGATTGTGACATTTCCGAAAGGTTGCAACTTTTCCAAATAGTTGTAACCTTTCCGATAAGACACAATAAACATTTGTTCACACCAATTTCCTTTCATTTTAAAATAACGAAAATTTTGAACCTCTTCTTCTTCTTCTACACAATTAAATATTTGTGTACTTTGCTCCTGTTGAGTGGCGCACTGACACCATTGCTTATGTAATAAATCATGATATGTATTTTTACAGTCATTAATTTATGCTTATGTTATTAAGGATAAATGATAAGATGTTATAATTTTCATTTTCCTTTACATTAATAATGTTTGTTACTACGTAATCTTGTATGTAAGATAATATAGTGTTTTAGTTTTAATGACCGATAAATTTTAAGTATTATTTTATAAATTTTGTGATATTAAATACCCGCGCAAAGTGCGGGTAATTTTACTAGTCTGTAATGTATGAGTAACTTATTTGATTGGGTTTGTTGTATGTATTTTTACAAGTAACATACCTATGGCAGCATTATAAAGAAATGAAAACAAACACATATTTAAATTAAGAGAAAAAGCATAAAGTCATTATAGAAGTTGCCTCGAATTTTTTAAAACGATATTTATTACCCCACTAAATAATTTTGAACAAATATTATTATATCATTTTTTGATCAACCCCAGATTTTAAGAAGCAAGTGTATTCACACACCAATCATTATATGACATGTGTTAATTTAATTAAAATGTATTTTTTTTCATTTTAAGTTTTTTTCTTTATTTCTCTCTTTTACTTTTTGACTTATTTTAATTTTAATTTCATCTTAATTCACTTCATCTTCCGCCCACTTTCAAGTGATCCATCCCTCCATTTTCTTTCTTTTCCTGGACCTCCCACCCACCCCACCCCACGTCAAGTTGAATCCCTCTCTATTTTTTTTCTTTTCTTTTTCTTTTCCAATCAAATTCTTTATTTCAGTAAATTTCTTTAGAAAATTACTTATATATTGGTTGTATGCACCTTAACTAATAATGTTTTAGAAAATGCAAACAACCAATATATAAGTTCCAACAATGATTTATATATATAAATACAAATATTCGTCTATTCACTGCTCCCTCTATTTCATATTAATTGAATTTTAGAGGCATTTTCCATTTTTCAAATTAACTTAATTGTTCAGTTTTCAAGACTATTTTTTGAGTGTTCTTTCAATTTTATTCATTTGGATTTTCAATATGATGACTTCAATAAATTTGACAATAATTAATAAGGGTAAAAATAGAAAACTATTTTCAATTTATGTCTTAATCTACTTTTATTAAAGGGTGTAAAACACCTAAACAGTTCAATTAATATGAAAGGAAGGAAGGAAGTAATAAATTTATAATTACGTGTAGCGTGGTTATATTCACTAGTATAAAATTATTTTAACTAAGCTTTTAAAGTCAATAATTACCCATCGAATATAAAGTCCAACTGGACAACACATGAATACATGTGATTTTGGAGGCGTTTTAAAGTTCACTTATCCAAGCATAAGAGTGTTTCTAGTACTAAGTACGAAAGTAATAATCCACACCAAAGTTTCGGGGAGTTATAACAACTTCAGCCATTAAATTAAGAACAAAAGCTCGCCATCTCCTTTGGTGTATACACCATGAGTCAATAACATTATCAAAAGTAGATGAGTATCTTTAGACCTTCATTGGAAATATTTTGACACATAAACCCACCGTGTCAAGATTTTGACAGGGTTCAAAGCTTTTCAGTCCACACAAAAGCTCGTTAGCATCACCGGGAAATACGATACGATTTGCTTACGGCGAGGGTATCAATGGCTCCAAAATATAATGGAAGGTAAAATTAAGACAATTTGTACAACTTTTTATCATTCAACAATACAATTGAAGTTGTTACACTAACCATTAATAAAAGGAACCAGATCTAGATTCACCATCATCATTGTTCACCCATAAAAACAAGCAGACCATACAAACGTCTTCATCTTTCAGATGTGGAGAGAGGTGTATCTGGCTGTGTTGCCCATTCTGTCCATGAACCATCATAGACTGGAATGTCAGTCTTCCCCAGTCGATGGAGGCCCTAAAAAGATAAAGATAGAGATAAATGAACTTTGAATTCATCCCTCTTTTGTGACAATGGAATAGCCATATGAATACTGGGCATAGATTAATGTACAACGGTACAAGCGAGAACTGTATGAGAGAAAGAGGATTCAACTGACCAAGACAAGTATGCAAGCAGTTACACCTGTGCCACAAGAGGCAACTATAGGCTTGTCCAAAGAGATACCTGCCAAAGAAACAAGTATTGTTAGATTAGTTACCTAAAGTGCAAGAACATTTTCAAATAACATACATCCCATGGTTAGACAAGAATTATTCAAGCAAAACAAAATGGTTAGACAAAAGATTTACTAGATGCAGTTAGATGATTAAACACAGTACGGAATGAAACAGTGCCAACTCTCCATTTCAAAGGGGAACCTTTTGCATACACCATAATTGCATAAACATGCAAATGAAAAGACATTATATTCCTCCAATGAAAGATAATGCATCAATAAAAGTGGAAGAAAAATACAAACAAAAGCAAACTCATAGAGCACCTAATATGACAACCTTACGGGTTTTTACCATGACTGTTAAAGGCCAATAGCGCAGAAAAGAGCCATAAGTTTATTGGGCTAATAGATTTCAAGTTTTTGCATGGTTTGCCCCTCAAACAGATTGGTCTTTAATTTTCCCCCCTACTGCTCAGTTAATGTAATTTGTGGACCAAGTACCCTTTTTGGACCCAATTCGCTCGGCATAAGTTTAGAGAACTTTCGCCTCGCTCGGCATAAGTTTAGAAAACTTTTGCCTCCCTAAGCATAAATTCTGTAGAAACTAAGTTATGCAGCGCAAGTTGTGTAGATTTTTCCAAAATTTGTTGTAGTGTACAGAAACTGGAGTAGTACTTTTTGGGGAGTACATTCTTTATCTTTTTAGAGAGAACAAAAGTTAGGTTTGTGTGTTCTCTCTTTTTTTTTTTGGAAAGACATTATGCCCTCCTGACATACGACATAACTTGTTACAGCGTAACTTGTGGATATTATGATACAAACATATAAACTTATGCTGCAAAAAAATTGTTTGTTATTTCGGTAGGGACATACGGCATAAATTGTTATGCCAAGTAGGCATAATTTGTGGGATATGTTGACATGAAAATATAAACTTATGACAAAAAAGTTGTTTGTTATTTGGGTGTTAGGGGCATAACTTGTTGTGCCTTTTATGGCATAACTTATGGGATACTATGATACGAAAATATAAATTCATGCCCCACAAGAAGTTGTCAGGGTATTTTCAGCCATTACTTAAAATGCTGAAGGGCAAAAATTAAAGACCATAGATATGGGGGGGGG